AAATAATACTACGACAATGTAAACAAGAAGAAATAAATCAATTATTGCTTTCAATATCGACCAAAATTTTTTCCGAATTAAGTATGAAGGAAATATTACAATATATTGTTGAAGAAATCCATCATAGATTACCATGTGAAAGGATACTTATTATTTCAAATGAACAAGATGAGTTTAAGAATAACAAAATACTTGCATTATATGACGACTCGGCAAATTCATTCATGGAAATTAACGATAACGAGGAGAGTGAATCACAAAGATTTACTGGTTCACAAGAATTTTTAAATAATAATTCAGGAATAGATGTTTCTTTGGACGTATACTGCAATGAAGTTTGTAAAAATGTATCCATATTATCTGCAGAAATAAGGTTAGATAATGGTTTTGGGGGATGGATAAAAGTATATAAACCTCAAAATTCTATTTGGCTCGATTCTGAAATTGAGTTTTTACAACAAATATCGAATCAAATAAGCTTAGCAATTACTTATAAAAGCTTATTAGAAAAGAATATGGCGCTAGAAATTCAAATAAAAGCAGCCGAAATTGCAAATAATGTAAAGAGTCAAATATTGGCAAATACTTCTCATGGTATGTTATTTTTATTGCAAACTTATTTAAAATCATAAAATATTTAGAAATAAAAGTGAAAAAATCGATAAAAACATAATATTAATAATAATTTTAATTGCAATTAATATTGATTTCGCCAATCCATTTAGTTAGAACATTTTCAAGCTCTTCAATTTTCAGAGGTTTTGCGAGATAATCATTTATTCCTAATTTAATATATTTATTTTTTATCTCTTCAGTAAGTGAATTCGTTAATATAATAATCGGTATATTTGAAATTGGTGGCCTCATTGCTCTAACTGCTCGTGAAACATCAAAGCTTGACATTATTTGCTAAAGTATAATAATAAATTAATTGTGAACGTGAATATTTCACCGCGACAATAGATACAAAACGAATTAAACTTACTAAATTGCATTCCAGTAGAATTAGTGAAATTCTTGAAGAATTTACTTGTTCCATATCCGAATTGGATGAACTTGAGGATGGATTACTTAATAACTTAAACTCAGAATCAATCCATCTGATT